ACAATTACAACTCATTAAGAAGAGGTTTCAGTTAGTTTTAGAGTTTCTGAAAAACTGGTTTTCCAGAAAACCGGGTCTTCAAGAGCCCTCCGCAGAAACCCATTTAGGCTTTTTGTCAGCTCGATGCCCTCTATCAACCGAGGTATGAACGAAGAAAAACGGAGAGTATCATCTCGGGCGGTTCCCTTGTAAGAAAATTTATGGGGGATCTACGTTTGAAAGCCTAAAAATTTCATAAAATAATATATTAATGAAATTTTATTTTTAAATCTTATTTCAATACATCTTTTTATGCAGAAAAATTCAGAAAAATCAAAATTTAAACATCTGGTACTCAATGAGTTAAAAGTTAATGCATTTAGGCACCTTAACTTTGTGAAGTGTTCTTACTTATTTCTGATAATGCCGTCGGATTCCGCTTAACAAGTTAGGTCTAGGATGATTACTACTACTACTAAATCAGACATAGTGTAGTGAACCTAGAAACTTTTCCAAAAACTGATATATTCTCTTGATATGATCATCTATGAATACAGTGAAATGTATTCAAATTTAATGTGTTTTCATGAATTAAATAATTTTAATGCGTTTGAATATATTAGAATCCTGAACACGTTGAATAGCGTGAAGTTTATAGGATGTTAAAAGTCAAAAATTATCAAAATCCGTTACAAATGTTTTTTATTAATTTCATTTTAACGCGCTTAATACGTTAAAATAGTGAGACTAAAACGCGTTTTTTCGTTAGGCTCACGCATTAAACTATCCATTTTAATACGTTTTAACGCATTAATGATTTTTTAATAGATGCATACTTTTTCGTTTATTCTATACTATTAATTGCGTTAGAAAATGGTTAACACGTTAAAAGGAAATTTTAGTAGTCAAAAAAACTCATAGGGCTGTCTGTTCGTCTAAAGTAATTCATAATGAGAATATCTAAGGTGGAATAAAACAGTTTGCTTAGATGAACAAAAAAATGTGTATATTGTCTTTCTTCTCTTTAGGCCCTAATTCATCTTCTAAAAAGTTTCAACTATCCGCATCGTACATTCGTGTTCAACCATCAATTCAAGCTGATTTAGAAATTTTACGTAATCTTGTTTATTTATTTGAACAATTGTTCGATATTAGTCAAGATGAAATTGATTGTGAAACAAAATGTGTGGAAATGTTATTAAATGTAAGAAAAAACAGTGTTCCAACAGTTGTTTTAGATGGTACAATGATAAGTGTATATTTTGAATCAAAAGATGAATGTAATGGTTATTCAATGAATGTTATGGATAATGAAACAACAGCCGAGATAATTATAACAAAATTATTAAAATTAATTAAAAAACATGATTGTTTCTTTTGGTCACTATACGAAGTATTAATTGATCAAAATCTTGAAAGACCAATGTATTGTAATGAAACATTATCAAGTGTACTTGAACGATATCGCAAATATCTTCCTAGTGAATTAAATCGACAAGCAACATTTATAATTAAATTGAACTATGTCCAGTTTGAAAAGGAACGTTTAGCTTCACAACAGCAACAATTAGAACCATTTGTTCAATGTGACTATTATGATTTTCCATCAAAAAAATGGGTATTATGTACGTTAACATATGAAAAAGCCGTTGTTCATGTATATAAAGCAAATTCGTCTAATGAAAATCATAAAACATGGAAACAACGATTCGTTTTACAACGTAAAGAATCATTTACAAATAAAGAAGAACCATTTTATTCATGGCCCGTTGAAGATATATTTGTGTATATTGGAGCAGATAAACGCTATGTCACATTTGATATGAATGAGTATCGAACATTAACCATATTACCAGTTGGAGAAGATGAACCGAAGATCACAACAACAACAACACATAATAATTTAATGTTTGGACATTCTTTTCGTTTTCAAAATCGACAATTAATGTTTCAATGGTATATTCGATTTGTATATGCCAATGGTCGTGATCAATGGACAAGAAAAGCAGCACATACAATACCAGATGGTGCTAATTATTTACCACTTCAAAATTATCATTACACAACAACACCATCTCATTCATCATTATTAACACAATCACAATCACAAATTGTTGCACCATTACGAAAAAAAACTGAACAAATTAAAACAAAAATAATGTCATCACAACATGTAAATATGTTATGTAAACAAATAAAAAAATAACACAAAAAAATTAAAAACATTGAAAATGGCTATTCATATATAATTATTTCTACCGGATAAATCAAATTAAAAAACAAAAATAATTTAGATAGTTTTACTTTTGCTTATTCACAATACTTTTTCATTTCTTTTTTTTAAATTATTTGGATTCATTTTTTTTATCCTTTTTGAAATAATTCCGTTAGATTCAGATGCGATTTTTTAAGATCTCCATCATTTTTATGTTTTTTAAACCTGTGATGATTGTATTTGTACATCGGAAAGATACACTTGTTATTGTTATTTTTTATCATTGTTTAATCTCACCGTTGGTTTGTTTTTGCCCTCTATCTGTATTATATATCTCAAAGCAATTTTCATATTTATATACGTCTTTTGGTTTTTTTCTTGAAACTAATAATTATTTTGACTTTCTATTTCTAGTTCTTCGGCATACTTTTTCTTATGCCATCATTTTTTTCTCATTTTTTGAATCTGCTCCGCTTTTTGTTGGAAATATTTTGTTTTCTTTTTTTGTCATGAGCACTTAGTTTTTAAAATAATGAATTCGTAAATAATAAATTGATCCATTAGATCTTTCTACTATGAAATTAATGTGTAATTGTAAGTTATATTATTGTAGTACAGATGATTGTATGAAATGCACTGTTTGTCGTGCGCTTAATAAATCAGAAAGTGAAGGAAGGATAACTGAGTATAAAAGTTTGTTCAGTGGAACATATTGTAGTAAACAGGGCTGGGTGCGTCCAAGAGGATGCCAAGTCCAAATCATGAAGCAAGCAAACCGAGTTCGAGTCCTTGAAATGCAGTCGCAAGTTCGATTTCTGAGTCCATTTCCAGTCCAATAATTTTTTCACACTTTTTTCGTTGTTTAAATTTCTTTTTGCTCTCTTGTGGCATAGAAAACATTTTTTAAGCATAATTTTTAAAGAGAGTAACACATGTGCATCTATATATCCTATACTAATATTGAAAAAATGCAAATTTCTCTGTTCATTTATGTTAAAAGTTGAATCGATCGAACTTGAAATACAAAAATACAAGGTCGAGACCGAGTCCTTCAAAAAAATCTTTCAGTCTGGACTCGGACTCCCCAAGCTCTGGTAGTAAAATGTCTAGATTAATAATAGTACACATCAAAATGTCATTTCAATTTTGCATAGTGTTTAAATATTTGAGTAATATCAACATTTTTGATACAGATTTAATTTTGAAAAATATTTTTATCTCTCTTTAGATTATTATTTTATATATTTGATATGTATTTAGCTAATGAAAATAAACGTTTTAAATTGTGTGATGATAACGGACCATCACCAACAACCTCAAATGAATTAGATCGAAAACATGTCTATTTGAAAAATTTAATTGATAAACAATTGAATCGATCATCGAATAGAGACGAGTATGTGTGTCTACAGATATTGATTAACTAATCTAGAATAGAATATCTTGTTTAGATGTTTACAACGCAAAAATTCCCATTATACATCTGGTTTTCAATATGAATCTTTACAAAGTCAATTAGACGGTGGTCTTATTCAATCAAACGAATATAAAGCAATAAATAGTATTGATCATGAACGGGAATCATTATTAATGTTAGGTTTAAATGATAAAGATGTTCTGATCAAAATGAAACATGATTATGGTTTATTAAATACTAATGATAAATCAACTAATCTACATTTAATTGATAATAAAATAAAGGAGGCTAATTTCGATCAATCATCACCATCAGAGACAATTATTTTAGCAAAAATGAGTCGACATGAAATTGATATTGAGAAATCATTTAGTTCATCATTATTTGTTGATGGTACAAATATTAATCAATTTTTTAAACAAATTCCATTAAAATTAAATAATTTTGATCAATCTCTTGTTGATATACCAAAAGTGGCTGAAGATTTTGACAATAAACGATTGAATGTGAATAATAGTGAAGAAGAAAAAGAAGAAGAGCAATTTATTGGACCAAAATTAAAACATGAATTATTTAATGAGAAAAAAATTCAATACTCGTTGAAAACAGGTGAATTTAGTGTCGTATCTATGACTAACATTATACAAAAAAATGATCTGCTTAAACATAAATTATTTCCTAGTCAATTAGAAAAATTTGAAAAACATGAGTATGGCATACCATCAAAGGTGAGAAAAGTAAAAAAAATTTATATAAATGTATATAATATATTTTATTTTGTATATTCTTAGATATTATACATCAAAAATTTATCTCCTAAAGTTACTGAACAAGATTTAGTTGAAGTTTTCTTATCATTTCAATATTCAAAACAAAATCCGCTTATATTTCGTTTATGTACAGGAAAAATGAAATGTCAAGCATTTGTTCGATTTCCAGGTAGGAAATATAGATATCAACAGATAACTTTGAATACATTCTCAATTTCATTATTTTTTTTAAAATAGATCAATCATCGGCAACCGAAGCATTAAATTATCTTCATGGATTTTTATTAAAAGAAAAACCAATGATTATTCAATATGGAAAATCGACTACTTGAAATAGGTCAGTGATGTTTAACCAATTTAATTACGAGAATAATTTTTGATATAACATGTTGTTATTGTTGTGCTATATATCTTTTGCCATTGCCTATTTGAAAGTACATTGGTCAGAATAACATCAAATAATTACCAACTTTTGCATGCCATATTTAAAGTCTGTAAATTAGTTCACTATACTAGTAAATTTTATAAAGATCAAAAATCATATTCTGTTCAAAACAAGATCTAAAAACTTGTACACACACGTTTCGATTATATAGGAATTGACTCATTGGTTTGAAGAGATATCTTTTCAAAGTTTTTTTCCTAGAAATGTAATATCCAACAGTGGGCATCAAGGCGGATATTTGATGAAAAAGTGAAAGTGAGCTTTTTCAAGATTCAAATAGTGTCATATATACTTCGATCTACGGGATCTAATGGTGTAAAATTTTTTATTCCAAATGCTCAGTTTTAGGAAAAATGTGTAAGCAAAAAATGACCTATCCTCGTTGCACATAGGTGCTTAGAATGTAACGAGATCGCGCAAGTTGACGCAGATCGGGTCTGATCCAAAATTATACCAGAATGTCTGTGGTCATGTCCTGCATTCATTATGAATGCGATTTTATGCGATTTTTCTACTAGCGTTTGATATGAGCTTTCCAAAAAACCTTGGTTTTTAGAGTAAAATCTATTTTTCTCAACTCAAAAATATTTTTATTAAAAATTAATAATATATTTGGAATCAGTGCATGAAATTGCGTCGAATGGCGTATAATTTGTTAGTTTTAAAAATAAAAAAAATTTTAACAAAAATTTAGGGCCTCAGCCTTGAACCTGAACTTTTTTTTCGACTTTGATTTTTTTAAATTATATTAACATTTGAGACATAATTAAGCAAAATTATGTGAAAATAATTGTCTTTTAACTAAAAAATCACATGTCCATCTGCACTATGGAAAAATGCCCCTTATGGGAGTACAGCTTGTGCTCTTACTTCAATTTCAAGGTTATAATCATGTTAAAAATGAGAGCATCCATTATTTTCAAATTGTATTGGTAGAAACTGTTAGTCATATTTTTGATGATATAATAATAATAATAATAATAATACTGAGTTGTTATACGCCTAAGGTCATCATGTAACTGGAAAATATAATTTACCCTATGAGCAGAAAACGTGACGAGAAAAAGACATCTTTTTTGTGAATACATGTCATACTTGTTGTGAATTCTATATCAAATTATGTAAACTGAGTTAAATGTGTGACGGAAATATTTTATAGACTAGCGCAAAAAAAATGAGTTGAAAGAAAAACTTTCAGTTTATTATAAAACTTGATCTATAACAATCTGACTTACTCTTATCTTAAAGCTTCTCTGTCCGAAATCTATTTCGGTTACTCTAAGTATTCAGGGCTAATATTTTTTCATTTACACTTCTACTCCTCTTCTGTGAAGCTATTTGGACACAAATTCATTTAGGCTTTTTCTTAGAATAATATTCACTAGATGTGGACAAGATAGCATTGAGAAAGGAGTAAACTAGTTCACGCAATATCCTCATCAGTTAGTTTCGACGATAATATGCATTGGACTATTTATTTTCTGGAATATCACGCATTGAATGATCCCGTCCAAAAATATAAAAGAATAGATGCTGATCTTTTCAGAAAAAGTTTATTTTCTTTATTACACTGAAAAACGACGTGCATTTTTCTGTGTGAATAACTCTATCTGGAGGATAGAAAGAATGTTAGCTTCTCTTCTTGGATATATGTAGGTTAGGAAAAAAGGACTGAATTACTTATTAGTTAAAGGATTTTTACCTTCCAAATATATCTGCTTGTATGTATTGGAACAGCGAATGGCCAAACGAACGTTTCATCTGGTCAGGAATCATCAGATGTCCCTCACTCCAAAAATGTTATAGAATGAAAGCACCTTGTTAATGAAAACTACTTTGATGTTGGTATGTTGAGAAAGGTATGTTTTGAAAGATGCTGGATACGATAGAAAAATTCATATTTGTGTAATTACTTATTTTCCACTGTTGAGTTGTATTAAAAAAATATATTATCTTTGATCACTAAATATATTTTTGCAAAGAAACAAAGTTGAAATAAGATTAGGAAATACTAATTTTCACGCCTACTGAAAAAGACAAACCAGTTTTGAATCATAATGGGTATCAATACACCAAAAAACGAGTAAACAAAACAAATAATTAATGACGGTGCCAGGATCGAACATGTTCAAGTATAATATGTACATTATGTACAGATGATGTGAGAATTTTATGAAATGAATCAGCACACACATACAAACCAGATACCGCCAAAGCCCTCGTTGATATTGCTGTTGATAATATGAAAAAACGTGCAAACGTGCTAAAAACGTGCAACGCTACCTATTCCAAAAATGTATTCACAAAATTTTTTCTCTCCTTTTAAGCACAAAAGAAATACAAAGAGAAACACCGAACAGAAACATGTAACTTAGTCCATTATTTAGTCATTATTTGGACTTGAAAATCCAATACCTCAAAAAGCATCCTTATATTCTTGTTTTCGCTTTTCAACTCTCGCTGTTTGTCCAATATAACTGTTTATACACCCACAACAGTCATATTTATCACCGTATGCAAGAGATACGAACACTTATATTAAAGCTGATTAAGTGTAAATCAATACGGGACGAATTGAGAGAGAAGTGTTAATGGGACGAACTGAGAAAAAAAATTCTGGGACGAACTGAGAGTAAACCGATGATTTCTGATCAAGTTCTTTGATTAATTCATCTATTTGATTTGAACAAATCTAACATAATTAAATAAACAAGCAACATATTAGAAATCGTCTGTTCAAGAGTATGATAGCCACTATAGTGGCCAAAGAAACAATGCAGATAGGATACTTCTGGAAAAACTTATCTTTCCATTCCTCTTGCTAGAGATGTCTTGACTAGGTATCAGGATAATTCTGTGTCTAACAACCGTCACGATGCATTTTCGTTGCCTTGAATGTGACTACATGATTTATGCGTGGCTCATGGGCGACTAGGTGTCTTGGTCGTAGCTAGTCCATTGTACGTTTTTGATGTATTAGTAATGTCTTCAAATGCATAGGCGACTAACATTAAAAAGATGAGAAAATGCACCTGACTTGTCTTCAAAACGCACTGTGAACGCATTTTGAAGTCAGCCGAGAGGTTTATCAAGATACTTTGTTTTGATAGTGTATGCAACTATAAGAATAGATGAGATGAATCACAAGAACTGCTAATATAAGTATTATTCTTAACATATTGTATAAGAATAATGAGAGAAGGAAAGAAACAAAAATAATGTTCGTAATACAGATGAGGTTATGTAACACAAGTAAATAAAAGTAAAAATACAGACGTTTCTGTTTATCTACAAATTTTTTTTTATTTCTTCATTTAAAATGATAGAACAGAGAAAAATAAAAAAATAAAGAGAGAGTACGGATGTAAGTACTTATCGGGTATTGACCTTTTTGATCAAAGGCAGAAATCGATTTGGTGACGTATCAACAGTTTAGTAAGCAAAATACTGACGGGGATGTCAGTAAAATAAGGGTGAAATATGATTATTATTAAATATAGCGTACAGAAATGAATAAAATAAAGGAATTCGATTGAACGGAGAACAACGCTGGATATAGTATAGCGAGTATCGGGATAATGGAAAATTTGATGATCAAAAGTACATTTATTCTAGTATATATCAATAATAAGTATGCAAGTTAAATATAGATAATCTTTCAAATTTCAAATTCTGATTAATAATGTAGCAGTTTTAAATTTCATTTTATTTATTTCACAATATTTTGACCTTATACGGTCATTTTCAAGTGACAAAAAAACTAAAACTGTACGAAAGATAGAACTACGTCTTTACGATCGTTGTCTTTCTATCTTATGATCTAAAACGTGACAGAACTGAAAGAAGAATTACAATATTTTTTATATATATGCGGCATATAATATCTGCATCTGAAAAAAATATTGTAGTTCTTCTTTCAGTTCTGTCACGTTTTAGGTCATAAAATAGAACTACCTCTTTACTTTCGTCTTCTTTCCATCTTTCGTCCAGTTAACTTTTTTGTCACTTAAAAATGACCGTATAAGGTCGAAATATTGTGAAATAAACAAAATGTAATTTAAAATTACTGCATTATTTTTTCTTTTTTTTCTATTTAGTATTTTATTCCTCTCCGTTTACCACGTTTTTTAACTATTCTGTGTGTTTTTATCTGTCAATATTAGGCATGCAACAATCCCAAACTAGGAATCGCTGATCGGCACCGAACGGTTTGTTACCAAACATGTTCGATCACCGAACGGTTCGCTACTGAACATGTTCGCTGCCGATCAGCGAGCCCTTGCTTGGGATGGTTGCATGCCTGATCTGAACTAAAAAAGGCAAATTGAATGAAATTGAAGCTTTTGAAGGAAGTAACCAGTGAGAAAATAGACTAAAGTACAATGTGAGCGAATGTGTCTTCTACTGAATCGCTACCAAAGGTTTAAAAAAACTAGTTTGTCAAAGCTAAGAACATGAGAACGAAGAAATACATGAAAGAAATCTTTGTAAAACAGAAAAAATGGTGAAGATTACGCCAAACGGAGGAGCAGCCTTGATTACGCCGTAGCCGTAGAAATGTAAAGAAAAGTTTGAATCAGAGCAGCAAATTTATGTTTACTTTATTTCAGGTAGTTGAAAGTACCTTTAATTTCCATTATATCTGATTTACTAAACTGTTGATACGTCACCAAATCGATTTCTGCCTTTGATCAAAAAGGTCAATACCCGATA